GAGCAGCAAGGAAGAAGCTCTTGTCAAAACCATGAAGCTCATTGAACCCTCTAAAACCCTAACCATAAGCATCAATCCAAAAGAAGATAAGCTTGGCGATGAGACGAAAATGGCGAAGAAAGCTCCTCAAGATCCAGAGATAGGTGTGTTTGGAGCTGAGAAGTATTTCAATGGAGACATGGATTCAGACAAGAGTTCTAGTGTTTTGTCTCTAACAAACCCTGAAATTGAGAGATTCGTTGTTGATTCGAAGAAATCTACTGGAACTCCGAGTGTTCGATCCGAATCAAGCTGGAATAGTCAGAGTGTGTTGCTTCAGAACAAATTGGTGAATAGCTGCAACAGTTCCTTGCATGACAAGAAGAAGAGCAATAGTGGTCAGGTTCAAAAGGTGAGCAGTACTAAGAAGAGTTTTCTCGCGACTTTCGGGTGCAAATGCGCGTGTTCTGATGAGAAATCAGTAGATGTGGACGAGCATATCTCGGTTAAGATCGAAAATCAGATGAGTTCTTCGGCGAATATGAACACAGAACTGATCAAGATTCAGAAGCAAGAAGAGTTAGCACAGAGGAAATCTGTTGAAGTGTTTGGATCTCCAGTAAATATTGAGAAGAAGAGGATTGAAACAGTTGAGAAGAAACTCACGTTGATTCCATGGGAATCAAGAACAGAGGAGGAAGAAGAAGACACAAAGAGTGATTCAAGCTCGGATCTTTTCGAGATACCGAGTCTTACGGGTAAACCTAAACCTTTACTTACAAGGCAAGGAAGTGATCCGGCTTCACCTACATGTTATGCACCAAGTGAAGTAAGCATAGAGTGGAGCATTGTTACAGCAAGTGCAGCAGATTTCTCTGTTATGTCAGAATGTGCAACAAGTCCTGTTAGAAGAAACCGGTCTTCTCAGATTCCTCGAATCCCTAGTAATACCGCGAAATCATCATCGCAGAGACGGAAATCGAGTAGCGGAGGAAGTGGTGGTGGTTTCTTGATGAGCTGCAAGAGTCATAAATCTGTTAGGGTATCTGAAGATTCAGAGAGAAGAATCAGCATGAACAAGACATCATCACCGAGTTATGTTCCGAGATTCCCAATGGAGAGTACTAAACCTAAGAGTTTCGAAACACAAAGAAAGATCAGAAACAGCTCCATTTCTCTTACACAATCATCTCTTATGTACAAGTAAAACTTATATGTAATGTCCACTGAGTGATAAGATTTGTAAAACGTATTTATTATCTTGTTGAGTTCTTGATCACAGTGTCAAAGAGTGAATATAAGAGCATCCGTATTGGTGATACAATGTGGGTATCATTAAATATAAAATTATTAAAATTTGAGTTAAATGAAGAAAGAGAGTGTTTTTGGTTGAAATAGTGGGGTGTATTGAAATATAAAATTCATAAAATTTGAGTAAAGAGAAGAGATAGTTGATATTTTTGGAGAGAGGTTATCAAATAATTGATACTTTTGATATTTTTAAAGAGAGAAAGAGAGAGTGTATCAAATGTTTTTAATAATTTTATATTTAAAAAGAGTATAAAATTAATAAAAATTGAGTAAAATGATGAAAGAAAAAGTATAAAGTTGAGTAAAAGGAAGAGAGAGTGTGTTTTTAATATTTGTTTATTCAACTGATAATTTCCTTCTAACTTATGCTCTAACATATTGCACAATCAAAACAATACTCAAAGAGTGACATTTGATAAGAGAGTGAATATAACATTTTGCACAGTCAAAAACACAGATCTGAAATTAGACAAATACCAAAAAATGTCCCTACCAAGTTTTGGTCTTTTTTGGAGTTAAGTCTTAAGAGAGAGATACAAATTTTGTCTTGGCTTCAAAAGGGTTAAATCAAACGTCTAAGAGCTATTAATGAGGAAACTTAAATCAGTGAAAGCACCATTTTACCTAACAAATCTAAGATCTTGGTCCTGAAACTCATGTCAAGGCCATGTGTGTCTAAGATAAAAGCAATGTAGACAAAAAAAACATTAATTATTTCGTTGAAAATAGTATGAACTTATGTAAGACAATTAATGCAATGAAGATTTATGTCTCTGTAGCCAAATCATAGTGGAAAAAGATTGAATTAAAACCATATGAATATGATCTTATCCACTATTGAACCTCCCCTGTGAGTTATTAATTCAAAAAGGGCTGATGAAATTTCAAGAAATTACGTAAATGAAACCATACACTAAAAGCTAATGCAGTATGGGTTTTGATTAATACAGATCTTGAAGATAAGTATTGTATCCAAAAGATATGGGGAGATAATTGAGCCATCACTTATTTTCCTATAAAATATTGAAATTAAATTAAAGATCAAATCAACTTAACAAGTCAGTTTCCATGTGTGGAGGAGAAAAGAACAACAAATGCAAGAAGACATTAGTGTTAAGAAGCATCCGTTTGCTATTTCTCCTCAAGTGAGTAAAGCAAGTAGGTACCGCGAAATCCGATCCCACATGAGAAAAAATGGCTAAGAGAAGTTGTTATTTATTAGCATAGAGTTTGTGGTGCAACATTCGTTGTCTTGATGTGAAAGTGTTTCTCCAGGAGCCACAAGATAAGCTGAAGAAGAAGAGGAAGAGTGTTGTGTTGTCTCTCGCTACATCTGCATTACTTCCTGTCACCTAAAGACTACAAAAAAAAAACCCATAAACATAGGTTCAAAAATTGATATATTTATAGAAATTAGCCTTACAATCTGGTACTATTTCATGACAAAATGGTAACAGTAGAGCAAAACTAAGATTTCTCTGTTTCTCTAGCTAGGTGTTTGGTTCCAAAGATCTTTCATAGAGAGAGAAACAAAAGTGATCAAATGCCAACATTACAGAACTTGAAAATCGTAAAGTTGTGGTCTAGGGTCTAAGACGATTACATGGTTCGGGTCTGGTTGGGTTCTTGCACAATTACACTCGTAGATAATTTATTCTGGCAACAAAATCTGCTTCAGAGAAAGGTTTAATTTTTGTTAATTGACTAATTTTTCAAGTTTTTAAACAATTTAAAAAAATTGGACTATAAAAATTGGTGGGTTGAGCCAGGCCCAAGAAATAGTGCAACACATGGGCGACTCGTGAAAAGCCCTCTCTTAATGGGCTTTTCTCCCTAAAAAATAGAGTTAATATCGTGTGGCCCAATGGACCACATATCAGATATTAAAACTGATAAGAACAGATACTACACTTGATCTTAGCCAAAAGGCCGAGAAAGGTACGATTAGTTCTGCCCATCAAGCTTTTCTTTTATACACCACCTTCGAGACTGTGCGATTCGTAATTTAGCGATGTGGGACAAAGTAACCTTTATTTTAAGTTTTTCAAGTCGGTGAAATTATAGATATTTTCAACAATTGGAGTATTAAATTAACTGTAATAAAGAAGAAGAAATAACACTCTTATTATTTACACAACCAGATAATCGCACCCAGTCTTTCAATGGTGAGCTAGAGATCTTTCCATATCAGGTAAGTGTTTTTATTTTCGAATCTGGTGTTTGGCTCTGTTCTTGCTTCTCGAAAATTTTCGTGAATTTTTACATAGAGGTTTCTCCAAATCTGCATCTTGGATTTTGTTAGAAATTCCATGTTTCGATTCTTGTTCTGCTAGATTCTCATATTTTAAAATGTCAAATCGCC